TCCTGGTTGTCATTGTGGGCAGCCAACATCAAAGGGGAAACGAATCTACTATACCGAACCTGGCTCGTCAGCTGTTCTGAAGACACATTGCTCGGACTGGCTGGTCGACTCTCTGAGTCCTTCACGAAAGCGAGCAGTGCCCTCACCCACTCGACCGAATCTTTGGCCACAGCTTGTAACAAGGCATTCCCCACTTCAGCTCCATTCTCAAGAAGAAACTCTGCGATATCGTGATGGTCGTTATTAACAGCTAGCTGCAGAGCTGTTTCTCCGGATAAATTCGCGCAATTCACATCGACATGTTTCTCCAGCGCGTACAAACGAACACCACTTGTGTCGCCATCACGAACTGCATCAAGAAATCTGCTCTGCTCCTCGCTGAGTGTTATGTCTTCAAAGTGTGAATCAGTTAGGTCTTCTAGGGTTACTGTTGTGAGATACGGTTCTGAAACTGCTCTCATACTCGGTTGACTCAAGATAACTACTTCAACTTGCGCGAGTGTCGAGCAATCATAAGAGTTTGCGGTATTTATCAACCTTTGGTTGCGTGACCCATTTGACGAACAGCGTGACTAATATCGAACCTGGTCAGCGGCTTTGATACTGAGGGCTAAGTACGTAATGTATGGGGAATTATAATAGCGGAGCTCGCGTAGCCCCATGATTATATAAAATAGTAGTAACCTATCAGGCCGAAAAAATTTAGATGTACGACCGTACGACCATATATGGTGCTACTTTTAACATGCGTGGTCAAATGTACCGCGAGCACACCAACGCCACGGCTTTGTCCAGTAGTCCAGTGGCCAGTGCACTGGGCTCTGAGTCGGGCGACCCGGCTTCTAGTCCTGGCCGGGGCAAGGCGTTGAAACGTACGGAAAAAAAATGCGAGCTCCGCTTTTAGGCTTAGCTAAATCTATATATTAGACATTATTGTATGTATGAAGAGTATGGAACATAACATGTATTAAGTAGATGGTTCTTCATACATGACTTCCCTACGACTAGGTGCGTCATGCACTTTTCACTCGTGCGTCACAAACCAGTCAAAAATGGCGACGTCTGTAGTTCTTTGTGATACTGTTGATTTTAAAATAAGTTTACGCTCTTAGCAAAGCCAATAGCATTAAAATTACATTTGAGTGGAACTTTCAAGTGGTGAAAACAAGTTATTAATTCATCACAATTTAATAACAAGATGCGAAAATCAGTACAAGTGATAGGAAAAATAAAGTGATCCATAATGATCTATGAATCGTCAGCAAAAGTTTCAAGAACATTAGACTATAGGTCAAACCCTCGTTCTTGCTTTAAAGATCTCAAAATATTTTCATCGTATTGCGTACGATAATTCTTAGGTATGTCACACTTTATTTAAACGAGCACTATTTAAGACATCTTCAACTGTAAGTCAAAATATCATTGCCATTTTAGCACATTTTTCCACTTTTTTCTATAGCAACTGTACGCTAAATGAAATTAGCCCTATGACCCTAAAATTAAAACAACCTTCTTACCTTAGTTTCACTTTTTATTGCTACTATAATCCTAACAATAACAACATTTTATTTTCTAAGGATGTCTAGTTTGACCAGTTTCTACTTCAGAAAACGCAACATCTTTCGTTCTGGGTTCGGCACGCCTAATAGTGCTGAAACAAATTCTGGAAAACATTGCTTATTATCCAAAAAACGCCTGTAGATAGGTATTCCATACGAATTAGTTAGCGGTGAAAAGTAGTGCCTCGAAATCCTTGCAAAATTAGCAAATTCATCGGGAGGGAATTAACAACTGTTTTTGAAAACCTAACCGTTTTCTCCGTTTACCATGTTAATTGAAAAACTACGTTTGACAGTTACAGGCACTTTAACACTTGTTATTCCATTTGCGTCTTCAGATTACGCGGTTTGATATTGAAGGAAACCTGAAGCTTTCGTATCTCCCTCTTAAAAGAAGTCATTTAAAAAACCAACCAGATTTCTTAGTAGGCGACTCAGTAAACACCGGAATAAGAAAGTTAAAACTAATATAAAGATTCCCAGTCGATCAGATCGTTTTTAACGCTTCATATTATTTGGAAAAAAAAAATTTTCGGAATTGAAAGAAATTTTTTTAGTATATCACCTTCAGTGTAGAAATTAAACAACGACTCTCCGAAAATGATGTGCGAACTTCGCTGTGACGTCATCGTTCACACTGGAGTGAGCGAGTGACATGTTCGCCTGTAGAGACACTAATATAACTAAAATTCCAGGCTGCGCCCATCCAACGAATCAGAAAACTATGAAAAAGGAATGTAGAAGTTCTTAGACTGTCGGTATCGAATTCACAGTATAGCGTATAAGTCCTTCTATGGTTTATGAGGAATTCCACTGCCTCTTTGATGAAATTCCACCTTAGTTTTTTCCCTAAAGGAAATTACAACAAAGAAAAGACCCGTTAAAAACCCCCTTATAAACATACAAACCCATTACATATTTAATATCTCAAAATAACAAGGAGGTTGCCTTTAAAAGAAGTATCTGTAAAGTAATCAACAGAAAACGATTGTGTTTTAACACACGCCACTTAGGCATCTTTATTCCGTGTACTCGTCTGCATTATCCAGATCGCCCCAGTTTCCAGTTCTATCCACACTATCCTTGTCGTCCCGATTCATATAGGTCGTTAGAGATAGTTTGGACTATCTCCTATATAATCTCTTCGATCACCCGCGGATAACTTGGAACACTCGGGGCGAACTCGGGAAACTTACGGAAACCAAGTCTAGGGCAACAACTGTGATTATTTCACGTTGCTTTTTTGCAGAGGGCAGCTTTTAACCCTTTAACTCTCAAGAGTGACCGAGACAGAATTTCAATATCAATACAATGTCAAGAAGACAAGTGATAAGAATAAAGATACATATCAGTCGGGCAATTGTTGGTTGATTCAAAACCAAATTCTCCTAACAAACATCATGAGAACTGTATGGCGGACAGTAAGGAGAATTACTTTTGAGATCTGGGAGTGAAAGGGTGAAAGGAACGGGCACAACTATGTTTCTGCTCATTAATGATTTTGTTTCATCACACTTGTTCCCGTTGCCGTCCTGGTTGGTGTCAAGTCCCTCCACTTGCACTCGAGGAAATTTTTGTCTCCCGATTAGCACTCACCTCAGACTGTAGTTTAGTTGCGTCTGCAGAACCTTTCCTTTCTTCACTCCTTCTCAACATGCCTTGCAACCGTGCAATCAGGTCCTTTAGATCGCTACCGTCCCCCAGTCTCTCCGATGTAAGCTGAGGGGCATGGGGCTGACAGGGTTTCTTCGAATTCTCAAAAGTGAGTAGATACCGCTGGATCAAACGCCTCAGTATCACGCGACGCTTGATTAACAAAACCAGAAAATACGTTATTCGGTTTATATTCGTTCAAAGCCTTTCTAGCTGCGTTATAAATAATACGCGATTCATTTGAACATATTATCGAGGTGTGGAGAGTCTTTGATCAAAACCGTCCACCATGGAAATGGGTAACCGGTCGTTTTCACCTACGAGTGGTTTCGCTAACGACCATGCCACTTAAGTCTTGGTTCGTTTCGCCAACGAAAGTAACGAATCCCTCCCACAAGATATTCGAGGATCCAGTCGTTTCCAAACTTCAAGATTACCTCATTAAACGAAAATTCACTACAAGCCTTGTTAACCGTCGTACTCAAGCCTCTATTACCTTTATACGTTTTTCTTCCTGGTATATTTTTTTATCACAGGGTTTAGGGGAATACCTTCTCATCAAAATTCATTGTTGACACATCGATATCGAGGCAAGTGGCTAAATTATTCCTTAGAACGAAAATAAGTATAGGGTGTACCAAGTTGAATAATGTACACATACCCTCTGTATGTCTACCCTATCTTTCAATCGTGTCACTGATCTTTCTCTCCTGGTGCAGCATCCGCGCTAAACAAAAAAGAAAAAAAGTGAGTGGCAAACAAAGTAAGAGTCTTCATCACTCTGCTAACTATATGCAATAATGATCCTGTGGAACGTGCTGTGCACGAATACATTATACGAATAACTGGAAAATGACGATATAAAATCTTCAAGCCTCTCCACGTACCAGAAACGAAGACGGATCAGCGCAAAACCTCCTACAGAGACGGATTACCAAGTAAGGAGGAGGAATGAGGTTGAATGGCGACGGCATAACGTCACCTTCATCCAGAAATGACATCCACATTCGAGTTCTCGAGAACTTCCACTGAATATCTTCATCATCCTTAAAAAACAGTTGTAAAATGTTATTAAGAGGTCTCCGGAAAGTTATTAGCAAAAACGCAGTTGAAAGTTATCATATTCCGTGAGAAGCGCATCAAAGCGCGGTGAGTCTTGGCTTAATCGCAGCGATGAATCGCGATATTTTGATCAAAAATTTTTTGAGATACACCTTCAGTACTACAAAAATTATACTTCTACTGGTTTATCTTACCACGACCCTCTGAAACGAGTTCGACATCATGGCAATCAGCATGTTTAGGGCAACCAAAATGGAGATGATTGTGTATAATCCCAGAAGTACTTCCCCTGTGTATTGACTGATAATGAACCTCTTGTCTGTGCTCAGGTCCGAGAGACTTGACTTTCCAAACAAATCCCAGAATAGGAACCTCAAACTCCCTCCGAATCTGTAAAAATTAAACCAGTGAACAACAGTGTAAAATGACACTTTTTCCCTTCCTTTTTTTTACCGCACTATAATTCAAATTTCAACACGATCGCTACAATGGCAAGAAATATATAGAAACTAAAACTGAGCTATTTCTCGTTGCCTTTTAAAAACTGTTGCATATCATGAACAAATCATCAGTTTATTGACAATTTTATAGTATCCCTAAAGAACTAATACTTAATGCGACTCATAAGAGTTTTCCAACCGAAAGAAGTACGGAAAGACATACGCGCGTCGCCGTGCTAACGAGTAGGAACGCGCAAGAAACAAATATATAGGCTCCAGGTATTTTTAACTGGCGTAGTATAACAGCGAGAAGTCGTGATAGTAAAATCAGGCTTTAAGTTGCGTCTCCACATACAAATTTCCTCGGGGACCAATCATTAGTTATCGTCTGGGAGGGGACGGAGGATTTGATTTTTTTAAGGTGGGGATGGGCAGGGGGGGGGTCACATGGTTTTCAGGGGAAACAGGTGAGAATCAGTCGTCGCTATCAGGGAATTGTCAACTTTCTTTCATTGGTAATGTTGAGTGCGGTAATTCTTAAAATCAGTGACCTTGGGTGAGGTAAATGTAGCATGACGTATTGTTATCCTCTACCAATCAGGGCACGAGTATCTCCATTGTCACCTGGGTAAACATACTTAATACATATGAATATCTAGTGCTTACTTGGAAAATTTGTGTTCGGTTGTATTCCGCATAAACTTTTCCCTTGTTTCTACATACTGGGAGTAAACCTTCCGCTCAGCCCAACCGAATGCAAGGAACAATAGCAAAAACAGGAACAGAAACTTGACGATGTCTCGCATCATTTTGACCAAGCACAGCTGCAGAGGCCCGAGAATGGAGCTTACTTGAAAAAAATTAGAAGCATGAACGAAGCTCAACACCAGACCGATGGAAAATGCAGCATTGGACAAAAGGAGAAGATTATATGCGTACACTTGGGCTTTGTCGCCAAATACCTCGCCAATGGGTACTACCGAGCCTCCAAATTCTTGCTCTGTCATGAAAAACCCAGCAAGCCAAAGGAATCCTGACAACACGAAGAGCCCTAACATGAACAATGTGACGAGGTTCCAGTATTGTGAGAGATAACGCTCTTTTCCCTGACGAAATGCTTCCTTTCCCTCTTGGAACAATAAACCGGCGATCCACAGCGATATGAGCGAATCTGATCGAGAAGAACAACAACATACTGATCAATGAGGAAATTAGCTTTCTTATTTCGCCCCAAGTGATATGCCACTCAATAAAACTCATCTCCAACAGCCCTTTGATACAACGTTCAGTAACGTTACTTTAATTATAATGGATGAAATGAATAGACCATTACGAGTCGCAAATCGCTAATAATTCAGTATCATATCACGGTGTCAATGACCACTCAAATAAAGAGCAAGCAAACCGTCTAAAGCGCGGACAAACGCGAGTCACTAAGCCGCTATTCATTTTAGTTTTATATCCGATTAAGTTTTCTGAATCAAACACTCAGAGGCGAAGCAAAACCAAAGCCATCCGAAGTAACGTTTGACAATTGACTGGGAATTGCCCTACCTTCCCCC